TTCCCGAAACTAACACGGAACCGCGAAAGCTGGTCCGACAAAGACGACTGCCCTTTTTGGTCAATGTGGTCTTCCATGCTAGTTGGACCCCCAAAGTATGTATAACAATGGCCTTTTGTTCTATTTTGAAATGTTTTGGACCATTATTTTACCTACGTTGGGGGTTTGGGTATGGTCTAAACACCCAGGCTGCCTAACTTCCATTTCCAGCCGTCGAAACTACATTAATAATTGTGAGCAATAGTCTAAACTCCCCGTATGATACTCCCATAAATAATTCCCTATATAACCGAACCCCCTTGTTGAGTTTAGATTATGGCTCATACAGAAATTGTGAGCACTCTGTTGTACAGCTTTACCTGTAGGTACTACAGCTTTAGCACGCAAAGTTGGACAGCCATGATGTTGGGTTTAGGGCTTAGGGCTTAATCCCACAGGTCCTTTTCCTGTACCTACTTGCGTAGAATTACATTGAGGCTGCTTCAAGGTTAAGGGCGTCAAAATTGAAAAACCGAAGAGCGAAACCTGCACCCCCCATACCCCCCCCAAGCCCCAAACTATCAACCGTAAGCTCGTCAATCCCTCATCCTCGTCCCTGACCCATACCCAGGTAGTATAGGTAGTATCCACATACTCGCTGCTTCACCCCTACACTCCCCCTGCTGCATAACCTTCACCATAACTAACTCTAAAAGCCCAAAACTCTGCCCCCTAAAGCCCCAAACCCCTTAAATCCTGAACTGAACCCAAAGCCCTGGAAACACTGAAGCACCCTAAAATCCTGAACCCAAAGCCCTAGAAACCCTAAACCCCTGCAACCTAACCCTAAACCTTGAGCCGAAACAAAGCCCTGATCCGTAAACCCCTCAACCCAGAGCTCTCAAACCCCTCAAACCCCAAACCCAAAGCCCTAAAACCCTCAAACCCTAAACCCAAAGCCCTAAAACCCCTCAAACCCTAAACCCAAAGCCCTCAAAGCCCTAAAACCCCTCAAACCCTAAACCCAAAGCCCTAAAAACCCTCAAACCTTAAGCCCAAAGCCCTAAAAACCCTAGACCAAAAACCCTAAACCTTGATCCCTAAACCCTTAAAATCCTGAAGCCTAAAACCCAAAGCCAAAAACCCTGAAGCATTATAGTTCCCCTCAAGTCGATAGAACATGGAGTATACGGGATCTGATTATAATATACCCAAAGCCATATTCTATCTAGTTAAGCAGGATTTTACACCCTAAGCCCTAAACCCTAAATAGTCGTTTCCATGTTCTTTTCCATCTTCCCAACGCAACTCCTATCGAACCCCTATATCTACTGAAGGGGGACTATCCCTAAACCCTAAACCCTAAAGCCTGTATTCTATCTACTGAAGGGGGACTACCCACCCTAAAAACCTAAACCCTAAATAGTAGTTTTCATGTTCTTTTCCATCCCTAAGCCCTAAACCCTAAACCTCCAGAGCCTCTCCGGCGTCTCTGCGCTGGATAAGGCCGATGCAGCCTGAGTCTCCTTCAGGCTCTTTCAACCCCCGGTTTAGGGTTTAGGGTGTAGGGTTTAGGGCACTCAGGTTTAGGATTTAGGGTTTAGAATCTATAGGGTCAGAATTTAGGTTTAGGGTTTAGGGTATATTGTTTAGGGTTCAGGGTTTAGAGTTTATAGGGTCTAGGGCTACCAAGAGCCCCTAAAAGATGCAATAAAATGGAAACTCCCAATGATTTCCTAGGTTCCGCAATGTAGTATATAACGGGATCCTCTTTTGCGGGGTCCATTTTAAGATCTTTCAGCTCCACTTTCTTAGTGAGTCCGGGAGTTGGAATTCCAAGCTATACTTAAAGTCTCAGGACACTTGGCGAGGGGTATAAGGGGATTATAAGCAGATTCACCTAAATGAGAGGACCTATGACCCCATTTATAACCCACATACCAATTTTTCTGAGCCTTCAAGGAATGCATGCTTACCTTCCCTTGCCATGTACTTCCCATGTTGGGTGATCCTACAACAGGTTTTAGGGTTTAGCGCTTAGGGTATCAAACACAGAAAGCAACTACGTGGAAGGGCTCAGGTAGGGACCAAAGTATCCACACTGGGAATTGCATTGGGCCCCAAATATATTACTGGATATATCTCTTGACTCTGGCGGACTGCACCTCTCGTCCTGATGGTCAGAATGAGGCACGAACATGTGTGGATAAACATCTGGAGCAAACTCAGAAAGCACAACATGCACGGGCTTCCGGTGTACTATAGGGACCAAAATGACTGATGCTACTTTGGGGTCTATTTGAAGTACCCGAAACCAGACTCGTACCAAACCATCTATGACCCCTCATATAACCCCGCTTTTCATTTCATATTCCATTTCTTGTCCGTTTGATTCTCCATTCTTGGGGAGGCTCTACAAATTTGATACTCTAAGCCATCAACCCCAAACCCACGCCTCTTCGCGCTTCGCCGACAGCACGGCCTGATCCAGGCAATCACGCATGGCTTGGGATGTAGGGCGGGGCTTTGAGCCTGAGACTTCTGGGTTGCTGTTGAGGAACTTAAATTAAGTTACCATAATGGGATATATAGTAAATAATAGGGTGGTTTCCCCAATATAGTAACTTAGTTTAAGTTCCTTAACAGCAACCCAGAACTTTCAAGATTACATGCTTGAGACTCGGGATGAGCTATAGTCTAAACTCCTAGTATTTAGGGCTTTGGGGCTTAGGATTTAGGGTTTAGGGTTTGGGGTTTGGGGTTTGGGGTTTGGGGTTTAGGGTTTGGGGTTTGGGGTTTAGGGTTTAGGGTATCCCCCTTAATAATGGAGAATCAAATGGAAAAGAAAATGGAAAATGCAATGGAAACTAGGATTATATAGGGGATTAATTATAGGGGTTATGGTCTAAACTCCTAGTATCCCCCTTAATAAGCCCTACAGCAGTTCCCTTTATAATCCCCTATACTTAATAAGCCCTAGTCTATTCCCCTATATAATCCCCTATAAAACCCCTCTAAGGAGTTTAGACTACAGCCCAGATGTAGAGTCTCCTAGATGTGTAAAAATACCAACCCCCAACCTTCGTAACCCGAGCTGCTGAGCCCTGACCTAAGTCTTAGGGTTTAGGGGCAATATTGGTTATATGGGTGGTTGTCACAATTATGGTCCCTTTCTGGGTGCCCCCCTAAATACTAGGTGCCGTATTATAATAGGGATCCAAAAAGGGACCATAATTTTGACAATCACCCATATAGGGATAATGGAAAAGAAATTGGAAACTATTATAAGTGGTTATATAGGGTTTTAAGGGTTTTAAGGCCTCAAATCCATAATACATCCTCAAAGGCACGCTGCTATGTAAACCTTGCCGGCAGAGGCTGTATTCGTGTAACGTAGAAAGCCTGAATCATTCCCAGTAACAATCGAATCCTTTTCGACCTCCTCACTCCACACCACCCTGCCATGTCTACAGCCCTCTACCCTTCCCCGACCCTCAAACGTGAACCCTGAGCCCCTCAACCTGCCTTCAGCTTGCTCTGCTCAGACATCATGGCAGCAAACTCTTCCTTGGATGCCTCCAGGGTGAGCACTTTGGCTTCAAAGTGCCCGAAGCCTCTTCGTCACCTATTACTCCGTTTAGAATAGGCAAGAACACAGGAAGCTACCACGAAGGCACGACAGGCCGCGCAAATGAATTACATATGGCCTGTTGGTACGGCTTCGGATTTAGAGCAGGGGGTCATGGCATGTCCAGGCATCTCTTGCAGAACGGCTTCTTGATGGGATTTGGCGGTGGCATGCTGTAAGTTCGACCTGCCAGCTTGCTAGCAAGCCCAGCACATAGCAAATCCAACATCTAAAGCCCTAAACTGTCTGAGGTTTAGGTTTGCGGCTTAAAGACTGAACAGAGTAAGCCCCAAGCCCAAAACTGCTCCACAAAACCTGACGGGAAAGACGCAGTTGCACACAGTCACGTGGGATGTTAAAACCTTTAGGCCTTCGAAACCACTTTCTAATCCCAGTTTCCTAATCTGACACTCCATTACCTGTAAATTATCCCCTAAGTGCTCGCCTCGTGCAGATTCGGGTCGACATGAAGATCTTTGAGCTCCACCTTCAGCGCTTCCAGTACCAACTTCCTAGACCCCTAAAGGAGCAACAAAAGGAACGTCCAAACGAGGATCCCATTACTATATTGGGGAACTTGGGTGATTTTTTGGGAGGCTCCATTTGTTCCATCCCTTTAGTGGGCCTGGATTTAAGCTCCAGGGCCAGTTGTTTACCCAAAAGGCTCAAGCACATGAAATAGCATATTTCTTAGGCCTAAACGGGTTCACACATGGACACTTGAACTCTTAGAGTTATAGCCCCCCCTTAAGTGAATAGAATATAGCTTTGGGTATATTATAAGATCCCCATATACCCCATATTCTATGTCCTTACTGATGGGGGACTTTAAACCCTAAATCCTAAACC